CGTCATAGAAGAAGAGCCATCTTGTAGTGTGATGTGCATATACATCTCATGAGCGTTGATCTTTCCCAAGATTTGAGTTGGTGTAGCGGTGGAAAGATCACCTTGATGAAGCACGGTCACAATGTGTCCATATTTGTCAATGGGAAGGACACTCAAGATCTTTCTTACAACATTGGATGGTTGCATTTGTATAAGTCCAAGCCCATTGACTTCCTCTACAAGAACATTTAAGCGTGAGTACATTTCATTTGCACTTTCTTTAGGAAACATCTCGAAAGAATTAAGCTTTTTCATGACAAGATGATAGCGTTCCTTGCGCTCGCTCTTTGTTCCCTCATGGAGCGCACAAATGTCCGACCATAGTGCATGGGCATCCTTGTGGTTCCGCACACGGTTAAACACATCTTTGCAAAGGCCTCTAAAGATGGTGTTTCTAGCCTTTGCATTCCATTTCTCATAATTGACCTCATCGCCTTGAAGATGTGCGGGATCCCTAGGTTTTGGCAAGCCTTGAGAGGCGGCTCTAAGAATTCCAACATCTAGAGCTTCTAAGTACGCCTCCATGCGGATTTTCCAATAAGGAAAATCATCTCCCTCAAAGATAGGAGGAGGTCCATCCCCGTGGGACATCTTTCTCTAGGCGGTTAAGCTTAAATACGTGAGCACGAGGCTCTGATATCAATTGAAAGGATCAAGATGCCCAAGAGAGGGGGTGAATTGGGCTCATTCTAAAATTCTTTGCAATAATTAAACCCTACACTTAGCCCACTTCACTCCTTGTGCCTAGAATGCGATTCTATTGATCTACCGTACAAAAGTTTAGCACCCTAAGTTCCAATCCTACTCTAGCATGGTAATTCTAATAATGTAAAGACAAGAATTGAATTGCTCAAATGTAAATGCTTAAAGTAAAGAGAGGAGAAGGAACGCGGTGATGTTTTGCCGAGATATCGGAGAGTCGCCACTCCCCACTAGTCCTCGTTGGAGCACCCGCGCAAGGGTGTAGCTCCCTCTTGATTCGCGCAAGGATCAAGTGCTATCTATGGGCTGATTCTTCGATACTCCGTCGCGGTGAATCGCCCACAACCACTCACAAGTTGAGTTGGGTCATCCACAAGCTTCGTCGGATGATCACCAAACTCCCGATCACCACCAAGTCGTCTAGGTGATGGCGATCACCAAGAGTAACAAGCACGAACTCTCACTTGACCACAACAAGCCTAATAAGAAGGGTGGATGCACACTTGCTACTCTCCTTGCACTAATGAGGCCTTAATCTTGGATTCTCAAATCTCAATCACCTCACTAGACTCTTGCTCTCCTAAGCACTCTCAAGGGTATTTCTTAGCTGAACAAATGGGTAAGAGACCTCCCTTGGATGAATAGAGAAAGTATTTATACCCCCTCATTCAAAACGAACCGTTAGGAGGTTGCGTCATCATTCTGCAGGGTGACCGGACGCTCCGGTCAAGGTGACTGGACACTCCGATCAGTTCTCCCCACTACTGAGCCGTTAAGTTGTGACCGCACTCTGACCTGCGTCCGGTCACGAAAATTGCTCTCTAGAACCTTATTGACGTTGACCGGACGCTGGCTCCTAGAGTCTGGTCACTTTGTCGTTTCATGTTCGATCAAGAATCGAACTCGACTAGCGTCCGTCAAGACTCGATCGGAAGCGTCCGATTAGGATTCTCCTTCTCTGGAACCTTACTGGAGTTGACCGGACTCTGGCACCCATCGTCCAAATACTTTTTCACTCAAATATCCGGTCGCAACTGCATTTACTTCGCTGATCAAATGAACTGACCGGACTTCATCGCCAATCGTTCGGCCACAACCGGACCAGCGTCCGATCAATATTTGACCCTCCATTCACTTCCAACTCGAAATCATATGTGAATGAAGTTTGCTCCAATTGATCTTAGGGCTACTCCGGAGCTACCTAGTGCTAGATTTGACAAGTGTGCACCACACCTAACCCACTAGACTCACCTAGGTCAAGCTACTAGTCCATACCCCCCTTAATAGTACGGCCAAAGGAAAAACAAAGTCCTAAATTACTCTGAGTGTCTCTTCAACACCAAACGACACTTAGAACTAGTCCATCCTTAACCTTGTCGTCAATCCTTTGAAAACCGAAATAATTTCCATCGTAGGGGCATGACAACCATGATTGCCCAATCAATTGCCATTACCATGACCTAACTTAATTGCTTCTACAAAACATACGTTAGTCATAGTAATCTTGTATTGTCATTAATCACCGAAACCCAACTAGAGGCCTAGATGCTTTCAGGGGCGAGGAGCGAGATCGTGGCGTGGCGCGGCACGGCACGGACCGCAATGGGGTGTGGCGCGGTAGGGGTAAGGGCGCTGCGTGCGTGGGGGACAGGCGCGCGGTGGGGGAAAGTGGTGGTGCAGCAGCGGATGCACGGTGATGCTCCGACAGCCAGATGCGAGTGCGATGGGGAAGAGCACGCCTCCTGGACTAATTGCTGCGCAAGCCCATAAAGAGAGCGTCCGGGTGGGGGCGGACGCCCATGCCTAGGTATTAGCGTATAAAAATTAGGGTCACTCTAGATATCTTCTGTTGACAGGTTTCTTGATATGAAATCTGTCACATTTTCATATCCAATGTAATTAATATAGAATATATGATCCACCTTTAGTTTACATAAAATAAAATTTGGTAGGTATAAGATCATTACAGAAGGGCAGTAAATGCTAGAGTTCTAGGAATAATAATCGATATCTGATTCACAAACAAACTAATAAATTAAAAATTAGGCAACACAAATACAACTTGCAGTACTAATAAAGAACTAAAGGAAAAAGCAAGTGGCGGAGGCAGAAATAATTTTAAGGTATGGCTGATTTACAAAGGTCAATCATGTATAATGTAATTATGCGAAGACTCATTAAAATATTACTAGTATAATGCCCGTGCTAACGCAACGGTTTTATCTAGAGAATGATCATAAAAACATCTAATTTATTATTTTATAGTTTAACCTTTACCCAATTATTATATTGTAGCCTAATTTGTCATGGATATTAGTTAATGCAGAAGACGTACGTGTAGGGAGAAGCCGGAGACAAGGCCATTTCTGCAGACATCGAGCGTCAACATGACTGGTCGAGGATTTGCATTAAGTATAGCTGTATGTTATATTTAAGATGGTATACATGGATAAACGTTATTTGAAGAATAATCATGACAAGGACGTTATGGAGAAACGTCGTAATGAAAATTATATTAAATATAAATATTAGAAGTGTACTTATCTTTGGATAGAAATCTAGTCGATGGCGATAAAGTTGTCCGGTCCTCGTGCTTTTCGGCCTGTTGTGACGGTGGTCGCGGTTGTCATAGCGCCGTTCTTCGTGGCAGTCATCATTGCGACGTGGTCTGGTGGTCAAGGTGGTCGGAGCTCGGCGGAGCCGCTCGGGACGTGGTCGATGTGGTCCGTGGTCGGAGCTCGGCGGAGCCGCTCGAGACGTGGTCGACGTGGTCCGTGGTCGGAGCTCGGCGGAGCCGCTCGGGACGTGGTCGACGTGGCTACTCGATCAGTTCGGTGGTCGGAAGGCATGTACCTAGCTCCATCGCATGGGGAGGCAAAAGCTCTCGGACATGTCCAGCCGAGGTCGGCCTACTCTGAAAACCCGAGAATGGTAGTCGGTTTTAACTGATAGAGTTAGAATAAAAATAGACTTCGAAGTGACACATTAGAGTGGTCGGAGAAATCATAATAGCTTTATTGAAATAAATCAAAAGTACAAGATGGGTACATATCTTAGTAGCTAAGCATAGAAACGCCTAAGCTTGTCGATGTGCCAGGAATTGGGTACGTCTGTGCTGTCTAGGCGAGCTAACCCGTAAGACGTAGGGCGTGTGACCTCCTTGATCATGAAGGGTCCTTCCCATAGGGTTGCGAGTTTGTGGACACCAGCCTGATTCGTCTTCCACTTCAGGACCTGGTCCCCGACCATGAAGAACCGCTCCTTAACGCACACCCCCCTACTTGCTGATTTCATAATTAGCAGGATATGCTCATGCGGCAAACCCCTTTTTTGGAACTCCGTGACATGCACATAGGTCGACGTGAGGCGATACCTTCCCTGTGGAATTGCCTAGCTTCGTCGTCATCGCTCTGATGTTCCATGTCTTCCCGGGGATCTGTTGCATGGGCAGCACGTGGTATGTTAAAAACTAACTCTTATGCAGTCATGTTTGTGTCATTAAAAAGCAACCCACCTCCTTCGTCATCAGATTCTTGTATCTCGTTGTTTGCCGGCTGGAACAAAGTTTATTCTCTAGTATAATGCTCGTGCTAACGCAACAGATTTATCTTAGAGACGCACATGAAAACAACAAATGTTTTTCCATAGTTCAATATAATTGTAGTAGTCATGCTGCAATCTCCAATTCAGTGATTTAGTATGTAAACCAAGTCTCCAAGGGGGAAAAAAGAAAATTCATGAGTTCTCTTGTGTCCTGCATCAGAAGCTTCACAGGATCTGATGGGGCATCATACCACACACAACCACCGGTGACCACACCAAATTCTACAGATCGTCGGAGTATATCTGCAAACAAAGACAATAGAGATGCTTGTTGCTTGGGAGTAGTAATTGAAAATAAGTGATTTTTGACACACAAAAAAAACAATTTGTATTTTTCTTTTCATTCCTTCGGGCTTTAAATAGAACATGTTGACCTTTGGCACTCACGCCTTTTTGGTTTTACACGGTATTTATCTTAGAGACGCACATGAAAACAATTTTTTTTTATTATTTATAAAATCACATTTTTCAAAAGTATATAAAAAAAGAGAATATGTGTCTATAATAAGATTACAATACCATCGTATTCTATTGTAACGAACATAATTTCATTCCTCCTCATTTTGACTCATACTCCAAAGCTCTAAAGCTGCTATACAATAGGCTACGTGACATTAAAAACTCAAGTGGTATGAAGTACATAAACATTTGTAAAGTTAAGAGCTAACATCTCCATATCCCACACCAAACAACTCGCCCAGCACCCATGCTGAAGTAGTTCTTATTCCTTCATCTGCATTGCTAAGTTCCCAAATCAACGGAAGAAGGCCTCCAAGTTTGTCAAGATCTGAAATTAAATTGATAAAATCATGTCAACATAAGAATCTAGTATAGAAAAAAGTATAAATTCTTGGTTTGCACAAACTGATAAACAAGCATAGAAATGAAGTACTTATCTTTATGAAACAGGGAATGGAGACTTGAAAACACAGTTTTAACTTTCAGAACAAATAACTATGCAACAGGTACATGGATCATCTTAACATGCATCAATCAATTACAGGTGAATAACTAAACTGGCATACTCTCTCTTGTGGACAAGAGTCAAAAAGGAAGCATCTATTCTCTGTAACTACAAGCTCATCCATGCATTGATTTGCTGAAGATGAGGTTTCGAGCATATGTTTATATTGACAAACAAGTACATAATTTACCATTAGCATTGTCGATGGGCTCAACCAGAACTAAAAGCTCTTGCAGTGCACGGTGGCGGTCCTCCAGCAAAACAGAGGAATTATTTAAGTCAGCGATAGCAACCTTCATCAACTCAGCATCTGATGGCACCTTTAACTTCTCCATCAGCTCCTGCAGGGCAGTTATTTGGATGAAGGTATTTGCATTTTACATCATCCAAACGTTGGCCTGAACTCTGAAGATCAACTTCTATGAGCAACATAAATAGGAGTTCTTGTTCAAGAAATTCGTAACTTAGTGTAAAATACTAAAACTTAAAATGAACTCTAAGCTTGGATGAACAAATTTTCCATCAGCCCTGCACCAATCTCTTCACCTTAATCTCCATTTGTTTCTTGAGTAATTCCTCTGCCGATAGCCTCTCCAATTCCGCAGCCTTTTCTCTCAACTTATCCGGATCAGAGTTCCCTGTATCAGCAGCAGTTTTGGAGTCAATTTGCCCCTACTTGAATGACAATGTAGGCTAATAAGCATTGTTGGCAAAAATTTTGATATAAAAAATGACCGAAATTGTTAATATTTCGGGTTCAGATCGGCGAATTCACCCGACAAATGAGGAAGGAACTCGCAAAGTCCCAGGCCCATACCAATCGCCCACTGCAGCATGCTGTCGAGCGAGGCGAACTCAGGTGGTACAACCCACCATGAACTCGAAATGTATAGACACCGGTCCCTACTGGACTTTTATATCTGTCATCAGTGGTAACCCCTAGACTTGCAAAGGAGAAATGTGAGTTGATATAACGTATATGTTTCCTGAAATATTTTGCATCGTCGTGCACTTGACTTGTGAACAACCTTTTGAGCTCTGCAGGAACATTTGGTATATGTATCTGTACTTTTCCTTTTCTACAACAAAACCCGGGTGTCTCACCCTGAAACCGTACTAATTCTCGCTCAATATCCCTTACAGCATCGACAGCATGGAGCAGCTTCCCTTGCTTCCATTTTGTTTCCTACATTTGACAGAGAATAAGGATGTCATCCTTAGTTTGCAAACTAATTGCTGAATGACATTTTATCAGCTGCATCTGCAGCAACAGATGAAGTGAAAGAAAGACAAAGGGTCTCACATTTGATTTTCGAAGTATGGATGATAGGTTGAACTTCGGGGCCTGCCTAACGATGGAAAATGCCACATCTTCCAGGTTGCCAACCAAAGCTTCCAACTGTAGAGTAGCTTCTGGAATGTCAGCATAGCAAAGTTACAGAAAGCACTATACATTCCTACACCATACAGAGCTAGAGGTCTCAAAGAAGATATAGTAACAAACAATAGCAGCCAACAGAACTCATCTCGTGGCAAATAGCAAAGGTGAGCAGATTTTGATGCAGAGGGGAAATGAAATCAAAATTGAACTATGAATTGGTACAGCAAGTTTGAAACTGCGCAGAAGACATTTATTATTCAGATAATGTCAATGGACTCGGTTACAAACTTATGATATACTTGTTCATGTGGCCCGAACCTTCATGGGTATCGTAGTTCATAGACTGGTACTGAAACCAACACAGAAGCTTCTACATTCAGCGCAATCATGAGGACTACATTTCCCAGCGCTGTAGAAGGTCAGTGATATGGATATTTTCAGCGCTGACAAACCACTGACACAAAAAAGGAACACCAGATTATACTGTTGCAGAAAATAAATCACGTATTAAGTTACCAAAAGCTACATCGCGCAGCAACAATGTAACTATAAGGCAGGCTCCAGAACACACTCATATGGCGTAGCTCCGTAACCATCTGCAGAACACACTCATATGGCCTAGCTCCGTAACCATCAGTTAGCAAACCAATTTCGTGTGTAATCTACGACCAGTCACATTGTATTTGCCCATGCCACCATGTAAACGTCCACATCAATAGGAGGAAGAGATGCTGACCCGCGTAGAGCCGGATGGTGTCGATCCGTTGGATCTCCCGCACGAGCGCCGGCAGCCCCACCGTCCTCGCCGCCTCGGCGCCCTCGTCCTCCGCGCCGACGCGCACCCGTAGGAAACAAAGAGGAAACCGAGTGGGATCAGCAGTGGAGTCTGGAGTGTGGAAGGGACGGGCAGCCTCAGCGCCCCCGCGGCACCTGGACTAAAACCCCAACCAGCAGCTAGGGTTCACTACTGTTGACGGGAGCGAATGCGCGAACGAACCTCGTGACCGGACGCGGCGGAGGTCGGCGCGGGCCTCGGCGGAGCGCGCGAGCCAGGACGCGGTCGCGGCAGCGAGGCGCGCCTCGGCGCGGCGGAGCGAGGCGTCGACCCCGGCACACTCGCGGCGCAGGAGCTCCGCGAGCGCCGGCGCGGCCTGGCGTTTGTTTCCTTTTTATACGAACGGGAGCGTTGAAGCCTCCGTTGAGTCTTAAGTTTTCAATTACAGTAGAGATATAAATATAAATATTACCAAATATAACAGAAATTCAAAAGCAAAGCACTGCATTTAAAATACCTCACTAAATGATTCGTTGGTGGTGCCATTTTTTTTATGTTGATCCGTTGTAAAATTGTACTGAGACTCAGCCAGCAGCCATCATACGCAACGCGACCAGTAAGACGTACAGTCGGAGAGACGTACGAGACAAATTAGCTTCCTTCTGTGAGCTTTTGCCGTAGGCCCATGACCATCACTTGATCAGGACGACCAGCCACCAGACACCAGCGCAGCCATGTATTGTATTTCACGTATATACACATAATATACTAGTCTTTTGTATAAAGGTTAGGTATGGCGGCCGCCAAACCTTGCCACACGGCTGCCTCCGCCCATGGGAAAAAGTAGTTCCAGCAAAGTTAGAAATAGTGAAAAAAATCCAACAACTAAAACACACGTCACAAAGAAAAAAACAAATAGCCCAAAATTTGACATATTTCTTTGCAAGAAAACTATCAACGGATAAATAGCAAAACTCTAAAAATTATTATAAATTATGTGATGTAAAAACATTGTATGTTGTTTGACTATAAACTAAGAGATTAAAATAACTATTAAATCTGGCTCCATATCTATATCTCCTTTGAAACTGCCATAAAGGGTATCTCTATTTCCTGATGGCATGAATCCTTTGGAACCATCGCAATGCTTGTGTCTTTGATAGAGCTCCACCGAGGATTTCTAGCCTCTTGCAAGCTTTCAAAGAAGAGGAGTTTGTGGTGCCTCGTAGGTGCATGAGGCCTACGGACTCTAGGGTCTAGGTCCGGCTTGGGCTAGTTAACCTAGTTTGTGAGTTTTTTTGTTGGGTCTCATCCTGTGGAGTTTTTTATTCAGTGCAACATATTTTGTTTTATACAACCCCTCATGGCTTGGCCCGGAGTGAGACGGTGGTGTTCATATAAGGGGCCGATCCTTTTTTCTCTCTATAATACAAAGATGTGTAGCTCTCCTACTTATTTGAGAAAAAAAACTAAAAGCTGAAAGCCAAAAGTAGGATCCAAGGTGCTGCGAAAATGTACCATGTGAAAGCTGTTGTTTCTGGAAGAAAACTTCTGGCTCTACCTAGCTTTCTGCCTTTTGACCAAGATAACAAATAGCGGATAGCGGGTTTGTAGAGGATTGACGCCTACATTGCGGGTTGCGGATATCGGGCTCTATAGCGGACGCTAAATTCCAATAATGTTGTATAATAATCTCATATAATTTAGATATATGTATATCTTAAAAATGATTTTCTTACACATTAACAAATCAATTAAATACAAAATTAATGATAGACTAATAAATGTCATAGCTAAAATAGTGTAAATAGATAATTAATTGTATTCAAGAGTTGATTCTTGACGAAATTAAGAATAAACTAGTTATGTTCTGGACTTGGGATGCTTAGCGGACTGCTACGTCAAATAACGGCCGTTATAGCGGCTTGCTGCGTCAAATAACGGGCGCTAAGTTCCAACCCGGTTGGACGTAAGGTATTACGCTATACTAGCGGCCTGAATCAGTATAAATCTCTATCTTCGTGTTTACCACGAGTTCTGCATATGCCGAAGCCCCCAAACTCTGTCCCGGGTAACCCCGTGATAGGTTGTTGGTCGTCAAACACCGACAGCTACGTCGTAGCGGTAGCAATAAGAGACCACGATCACTATTGCAGCCGCTACAGCAGTTGCTAGGAATATTATTTAGTACCTTGCTTTTGACAACATAAACACTTCTAGAAGTTAAACTAAACACAGCCTCTGTCTCTATCGCTCAGGTTTTGGCAGAGTTCGAGATTGTCGCACCAACATCTCATATTCAAATTTTTGGTGCTTTAGTGATGGTATTGATTTCTCATGCAAAATCCAATGATAGTGCAATACAATGTGATAGCTCTATATTAATCTCAAAATTTGTCATGTGTTCCTGTGTCTCTTGAAGAAAGTCACTTGTGTAAAATGAAAAGCTTTATAATAACGTAGGTCTTCGGAATCACTCGCCCTTGCAATCAGGAGAGGATGGATAAGGTTGTCAAGATGCGTCTTTGTGTGACTGCTTGCGATCTCCACAATGGCTCATCTTCCATCCAAATCAAACGGTGACGTGTACCATGGTCTCCAATACAAGTTGCTTCGACCAATCTTCGCCGGGACTTTGGCATTTCACCCATCATGAGAAACGGGTTTCGCAGTTTTACCATCCCTCAAATTGGTTTCGCTATTTTGCCATTATGAAACGGATGCAACCCACCGAAATACATTCGTGGTAGTTTTAGTTCGTGGAAAAAAAAGAAGACGCCTCCTTCCATTCCTACCCCTGGCCGCTGTAACTTCCATCAGAACGGATCGAACACAAAACGGATCGGCCCTCTCCTCCATCCCCAGCGCTGGCCTTCCCCACGCCGCTCCCTCCCCGTGCCGGCGCCGTCGCTGGCCTTCCCCACGCTGCCCCCTCCCCTACCGGCACCGCCCTGCCACCACGCTGCTCCCCTCCCCTGCCGGCACCGCCCTACCACCACGCCGCTCTAGGTGCCTCGTCCCACCTCCGCCCGGCCATCCAGGTGCCGCCTCCCGCCTCCTCCCAGACATCCAAGCGCTGCCGCCTCCCCAGGCCATCCAAGCGCCGCCTCCTCCCTTGCCGGCACAAGCCCACCCCCACGCCTTCTCCTCCCCTGCTGGTGCAGGCTCGCCCCCACGCCTTCCCCTCCACTACAGGTGCCAGCCAGCACCGCTCCACTTCGGAGCCGCCCAAATGGATGGGAGCAACAGTTCGACTGGGGCCATCCAGAGGGCTGGGAGTAGAGTCATTCTCCCTCTTGTCCACTGCGACAAATGCAAATGCCGCATTGTCAAGGCATTGATGGCAAAGACAGAGAAGAACTACGGGCGCATGTTCTACATCTGTTCAACTCGAATGGTTCTATGATTTGTTCCATTTTGTTTGTAATTCATGTGTTGTATTGTTCAAACAATTGAAATTTCTTTGCATTGGTGACAGATGGATGGTGGTGGATGTGACTTTTGGAAGTGGCAGGAGGACTATGAGCAATGGCTGGTTGATAACAAGCATGTGCCACCCTTTTATCAGCCTGTTTTTCAGAGCACTAAGATGCCACAACCAGAAGAACAGACCAAGGGAGATGGTGGACAACTAGAGCAGTTGAAGGACCTGACAGGAATAGCTAGAGAGATTGTGTTGTTGCTGAAATGCTTGATATTAGTTTGTGCACTTGTACTAGTGACCAATTTGTATGGAATTGTTAAGAGTGGGTGATAAGTGTGCTTTCTGTACTTGTAGAACTTGTGTGCTGAAATAAATGAATGAAAGTATTAGTGACTTGTATCATATACTGTGTCATGTGCCCAAATTTACTATGATGTGCCCAAAGTTACCAAGAAACTAAGATGATCAAGAGTTGAGCCCTTTTCTGAGCTGCTTGCCGACCTGCTTTACTGCATGGTAGCACCAAGAGGAGAAATCAGCCTAGGCAGTCAGTGGTGCCAATCCTTAATGTCTATCCTGCTAAAGGGTATCAGCTGTCTGGTCTCATCTGCTTGATCACATTGACAGCAACATGCTAGGTGTAGCAGCCCATGCTGCAAGAGGGTATCAGCTGTCCAGCACCAGTTAATATTAGCCAAACTGAAGCACAAGAGATAGAAAAAAAACAATATAAATGCTGGTTGAATTTGTAACATACACAATGTTTTGAAAGCAATTTCTATAGCAAAAACACAAAATTGCAGCCACACTTTAGATCCTGCATCTGGAATGCTTTCCATGACTCTAACTCCAGCACAACAGCAACAGAAGAAGCAGTCAATAAGTGAGGTTCCAACAGGAGTACATAGATGCAAATTCTGGATACATTCCCAGCACAACAGCAGCCACACAGAGTGCATCTTTTGGCAAACAAAAGAAGCAGTCAACTTTATTTTTCATTGTCAAGTACAATACCACATACTTCAGTTCCACAAGAAATATACATTGTCAAGTACAATACCACATACTTCAATTCCACAAGAAATATACATTGTCAATTACAATACCACATACAACAGGCCCTAACAGATTCAGCTCCTAAGGACTTGTTTCTTCCTTGGCATCAGCTTCTTTGCAATTGTCTTCTTCTTTGTTTTTCCTTGGATCTTGCTGGGACTTCTCCCATCAGACTGTGCATTGGCTGAGGACTTGTTTCTTCCTCCATCAGAAGCGAAAGTTGTCAGACCAGCAACAAAAAAATGTAGAAAAATGTTAGCCACTAGTTAAACACCTTAATGGTTGTCCCATCTGGTTGCCTCCTTCCAACAATATGCCACGGGCAACCTTCTGCATTGCAGTCCCCAATGTACCGTTGTGGCTCATATTTCACTATGTGCAGCTTGAACTCCTCATTTATTGCAAATTGCCTCATAGCCAATCTGAATTCTTTCATATTAGGGTACACAGTGCCAATGTCCATACAAGGGTTGTTTGGGTCATAGACTAAGATTCTCTCCCCTGGCACATGATCCTCAACAGGAATGGCAGCCCCAGCTGTGTCAATCTCCTCAACAGTGGCATTCCTCTTTTCAGGCCCGTTTTCCATCTCTGTAGAAGCCTGCTGCTCTTGAGATCGATGTTCATCATCCTCAGTTCTCAAACCCAACAGACGAAATAATTGATCCTCATCAATTATTTCTTGCCTGCCCTCACACTCTTCATCATTTGTGTCAGCAATATGCAGGTTGTCCCAATCAACACCTCCATAATATTTTATAGCCAATGCATTGCCACTAACATCACCACATCCATGGTCTATAGCCTTTGTGAAGTGGATCGTGATGTCTAAGAGGGAGGGTGAATTAGGCAACTTAAAATTCTAACTCCAAACTATGGCCTCTTTTTCTAACCTTAGCAAAACCTATGCAAAAGATAAACTATCTAAATGTGCAACTATAGTTTTGCTAGTGTGTTGCCATCTCTACCACAAAAGGAGTAATGTAATCAATGTAAATGCGGAAGATAAAGAGTAAGGTAGAGATATGCAAACTCTCATCGACGACTCTGGTATTTTTACCGAGGT